CTGGCCACGTCCGTCAGCAATTGCCAAACGCTCGTTGTCCACACGCCTTCTGACAGTGTTGGTGACTCGTCGCCCATTCCTCCATCAGCTATGGCCAAATGGAAAACTGGATGACTAGTTAAACTACCCAACGCCAGCATAAGCCAAGCAGCAGGTAACTCAACTGGTTAAACTACCCTACGCCAGCATAAGCCAAGCAGAAGGTAATTCAACCACCATCACTTCGCCCAAACCAGTCCATTCATTCACATGGTGATCGTCAGCAATGGCCAAACGAATCAACATGTGCCTGAACCAACTAGTCCGAGCTCCCACTATCGTCCCTAACAAAAGTGACTTACCTTGAAGTGAAAGAAATTCTAAATAGAAAGATTTGGCAATTTCGCTGCCCTTTTATTTGAAATTCCTTCCATTACATACAAAAACAATAATTATTTTCAAATAAACAAAGTCCCGTAAATTTGTCAAAACAAATTTCTTATTGTTGTACGCATTGCAATCAAATTCAACAAAAATAACTGCATCACATAAAAAATGCGTGCACAATATTTTTCTTAAATTTGTTTATGCAGACAAACAAGTGAAACAGTTACAACAAATTTAACTAACTTTTATTAGCGGCAAAAAATTAATCAAAACATATTTTACTTTACAGGGTCATTCGTTTATACAAAATGTTTGTCTCTAATATGAAATTTACAGGGTCATTTGTTTATAATAAAAATGGATGTTACTGTAGGAAAATTTTATTGAATTTAGAAACATGTTTTTTACTAAGTGGATTTAAAACTCATATTTGACTATTCATTTAATTTGTGGGGTTAAATTTTAGAATAAAATTTGGGCCTTACAACTTGTTTGTCGAAATTTGTGCGCACACTTTTGCTTTATACAATAATTATGGAATTCATATTATAAAATGTAAAATTTACTAAGATTGCATTTGTAAAATTTGTTAAAAAAATTTATTAACACTTAAATAATTTATAAAATTTATGAAGGTTTAATAAATTTTCTTTTCTAAACAAGCACCAATGTTCACATTCCGCACTCTGTATTATGCAACCGGTAGCTTCGAACGCTCAACTCAAACCATAAGCTACAGTTATTTTTTTATGTATAAGCACAGCGTCAGTAGCAAGTTAAAGCTCTGAGTGTGCATAAAGTGTGACGTATGCTTGCGCATGGGATGGAAGTAGTTTGCATGTGCTTTTTGTACATTGTACCAGTTGACCATTACAAAGTGTATGTCTGTTTGATAATTATGAGAATACGCAATGCAAGCGAATTCCTCATATGTATGTATGTAAAGATGAATACAAATACATACTGTAATGAACCTTTTCATCAGCCGAGGTTTCGCTCGCCGGATCCCAGAGTCGTTACAAGAATATTTCTTTATAACCCAGAATCTTCTCGTATAATAATTTTAAGACCGGTTAATTTTTTTTTAATTCCTTTATTTTTTTTTTGCAAATAAATTTTTACAATAGGTATTACTTATTTACTAACAACATATATTGCAATTACCAATATTGAGAATTATTATAATTTCTGTAATAAATAAAAAAAATCTGACCAATGGTGGACTAGGAACCAACGCTACCGACAAGACTGCGTTGTTAAGGATCAGTGTTACCGACTGGGCTACACTGGTGGACTAGGAAGCAATGTTAATAAATTTCTTATTTACCTGGTTGAATTTTACCTTTGGTTCTGCCAAGTGTTCTGCTCCGTGGCCTGTGATCAAGTGTCTTTACGTTGCGAAATCTTGCGAAACGGGACTTCTAACTGCTGAGTGCACATTGTGTAGCTTTCTTCTAAGTTGTTATTGCCTATTTTAAATGCCTGCGGCTGGTATGTTTACTGTTGTTGTTTGCTGCACATTTATTAAAATTTTGGCAAAATAATTACACTCAAAAAAAAAAAGTGTTATCACTTAATTTATATATTAAGAAGGATTACATTTTTCTTTTTTTTTAATTTTTATTAAATTAATAATATCTTAATAATATTGATGTTTTATGCTAACTTAATAATACCTTAATTTAAAACTTATTAATACCTTAATTTTATTAATACCTTATACTAACATTTTGGTTTGCGTCTATATTAACTAATAATAAATAATTTCTTTCTCAACTAATATAGGTTAATTCTATTGTTGTCTTATTATATTTTTTTATTTTTTATTTTTTACCAGTTTAACGTTAATAATAATAACTTAGTTGTATGCATAGTGCATTGCAATTTTTGTGACGAGATGGTAAAAATCGTCACAATACATATTACATCTTTGCGGCGAATTATAATCTGACGTTTCTATTTCTTTTGTTTGTTTTGATTATTACTTTTCCCTTAAAATACTTTTAGAATGAAATAACTAAAGAAACAAATAAAATTACCAACATGTTTGTTTTTATTTGTTTAACTAAGTGTCCGGAATGAGGGTTTATTTCCCTTTTTTTTAATAATATTTATATTTAAATATGAATCTTTAACTAGTAAGTAATTGAGTTATGTATATTATTCATTTATTTAAATATATTTCTTCATTTATTATGAATTTAATTTCAGAACATTCCGAGGTATTACGGAAGCGTGCAAGAGGTGTGAGTAAATTCACTAAATATTATTAAATCTTCAACTTCATTTCATTTTTTTTTATGTGCCACTGCATGACTATAACTATTTTTTCTTTTTTTACTATAACAGGGTTCCGTTGAAATCATTATGTGCTAGCCGTGATGTTTTGAGGTAATATCGGTGAAATATTTACCATTCCATAATTTTAATATTTTGTCTATTCTAGGTTCTTATTACTGTAAGATCAATTCTATTTAGACAAAAAAAAATTGATCATTACAACCTGTTTCAGGCGAATTTTTTGCAATATCTGCAACTTGTTGTAGCGTTTCTGCCTCCAGCGCAGTGATTACTGTGTAGAACTTTGGCAAATCTGACATTACTCGGCTCATATGCAATGTAACGAACCTTTCTAGCCGGGGTGTTGCTCGCCGGATTCCAGGTCCAGTCCTTCAATAAATTTATTTGTTAGGAACAGTGGAACGTGTGAATACACGGTGGACGGTGACGTTGGTGCGGTGATGTGGTTTGAAGAAATGTGAATTTCTTCTTTAAAACAATGTATTTGGCGTAGTAATGTTACTTTCGACGCCCCTGAAGAAAAAAAAAAGGTTTTGAAGAAATGTGAATTTCTTCTTTAAAACAATGTATTTGGCGTAGAAATATTACTTTCGACGCCCCTGAAGAAGAGGTTTGAAGAAATGTGAATTTCTTCTTTAAAACAATGTATTTGGCGTAGAAATATTACTTTCGACGCCCCTGAAGAAAAAAAGGTTTGAAGAAATGTGAATTTAATTTGTGCAAACCATAAAGCTGGATTCTTGGTTAAAAAGTTTGGCAACTTTATTTGCCCAATCGCTTGCACTGCCGACGCTTTCGCTTCCATGGGCTGGAATTTATTTGTTTCTGCGGGAGTCTCTGTACGTTCAATTTCGCCTATTTTTTGCGTTTTTTTGAAGTTTGCGTGATTGCTTCTGTAGGGGTCACCAATTTATGGCTGTTTTACCATAAGTTTATACAAAATAAAAAACACACTTATTGCTGGTTGACTATTTTATTAGGCATTTACTTGAAGTTGGTTGCTTATTCACATAAAAAAGATCATTTTTGATTTTACTTTGCCTGTAGATGGCAAATTGACGTTATCCCGACTACTGACCAAAAAAAACAAAGCAATACGGATTTTGTAATTGCATATGCTGGAGAGACGAGATTTTAGAAATAAACTTCAATTTCAATTTCAATTTCAACAGGCAAAATCATGGAATTGGAGTCAGATTGTAATAAAGAGTTTGAATATCCTGAGGTTATTGTATCGGACAATGGTATACACCTATTTCAATGCCAGAAATAGAGTTGCCTTCCAAAAACATATTATTAATGCATCACAAGATAAATTGGGTACAGTTAATTATAATGTAGATCAGCCTCAACCGCCAAATTCGAAACAAGAATTGTTTTTTAATGGATTTAGAACAACCTGACCACCACAACTGAATCAATTGTTTTACCATTTGGGCAGTATAGAAATGAATCCGATACATTAAAACGTCAGAGCATAGTAGTTTTCGAAACATTGGAATCTGTAAAGCATCCAGAAGTTACTGATGATCAAGAAGAACATCTAATTCAACAATTACGTTCTCGACATTCTATTTCAGCATAAAGACTACGTGATCGTTCAAATAAAAAATAGGAATGTGGTGGAAAACTAAAATGCAACCATGTAGAATAAGGAGAGAGATGATAAAGAAAACAAGATTAAGCGTGGTATCAGTATAGATACCATCCCTGTGTGGTGCTAATAGAACAAATTCAAATTTGTAAAATTCAAAGGTCACAACATAATTATTTTTTGCAAGCAGAAATAAAAGTCCTTGCGTGTATTTTATAATTAAACACAAAATAAAATTTGCATGCTGAGTTATTTATTTTAAAGCAAAGCAATATAAAACGCTTTTGTGTTTTTGTAATATCACAATCAAAATACACAAAACGGTTGGTCAAATAATGAGTTGATTTTATTTATTAAATATTATAATTACAAATCCGATTTTGTATTTTTATAAATTTATTGTATATAAATAAAATCAATTATTAAGAAAATTATAGAAGGAAACTTCGTAGAGAGGGTAAATTCATTATTGGCTAACAAAAATAATGAAAGAATAATAGTATTAAAATACGAGTTGGAATTAAAAATATTAAATAATTGTACAGATTTAGAATTTGAAGCAGAAAATGTAGGTGACAGACTTTTATTTATATAGTTTTAATGTTAATAACTCCAGAAAAGTTTATAAGTATCTTGTTAAGTAGTCAAAATGAAACAAATTATTTAAGTTCGTAAGTTTAATGACTAATGATTTTTTCTGCGTTCTGCCAATAACTAAGTAATAATTAAAATTATATAGTTTTTTAGATATAAAGATATAAGCAAACAAGTTGTAAGCAACCCTGTAATATAATTCTGAAAATAATAAATAAACAATATGGACCTGTGACGGTTGCAGCATTCGAAGCTTAACTAATAATTACTTTGATTATTCGTGGAAGCTCTTAACAAGAACATCATACGCCACTAAAGTAAGATAATGACATTTAATGCTCCACAAAGCAGCATTGCATACCCACAACAATAATGTAACGCAATTTGAATATATTTCAAAAAGACGCGAACGCTTTTAATTTACTCCACGCAAGAAAAAGGATTGAGTTTTTTAAGAGGATGTAAATTTGGACTACAACTCTATTTGTGCGCATTATTAACTCTACATATTAGCCGTAATTCATATAAATTTATATTAATAATGGTAATAACGAAAGCAACCGTCAACAAAATACATTGTGAAATCAGTTTTATTTTCTTTAGTATGTAATTTGTTGTAGAGTGGTATTTTTTTATGTCATGAACTGTGTAAAATAACATTACATATAACATTACAAATAAAGTATATGAAAATATGTCAGATTTATAAAAACAAATTATCAATACTTTATTCTTATTAAAAGTAATGATGCAATTAATTTCATGCAAATTTACTGTGCTATATATTAGATGTCTTAAATAATATATTGTATAAATGTTTATAATCGTTTTGATACTGCGCTTTTGGTTAAATGGTGTTTAGTTTCAATTTTCTTTCACTTGCTACAAAGAGTATATCAGTAGCTAATAACTCAAATTCACTTTTTGTCAGCCTGTCTATCTTTAATTATTTCAGTTATTTTACATTGTAGGGCACTTTGTAAAGGAATCTTTCTTTGTATTTTTGCTGTCATTATATCGGAATCGTCGTTAAATGGCAAATTACGTTTTCCGCACCTAATTTTTTCATTTAGTTTCCGTAAATCCTTAAAATATATTTTTGAAATATATTAAAAAATGTAAACATATTTTAAAAACTAAAATGGATTTACCTTTCCTGGACTCTTACAAAACTCATATGTTATATCATTTGGAGAATGAAATTTTTCATTTTTTTCCATTGGATGAACATAAACCAAAGGATGTGTGGACAATTTCCGTGGAAAGTTTTGTTTTTCTGTTGGATGTGGTGATAAAGTCAAGCTTTGTACCTAAAATATTATTATAAAATTATTTGATTTTACATTGATATATTTTAATACAAACCGATTTATTTTTCTCACTAAAACTTAAAGCGTATGGACTCATATTTTGAACATATATGTTGTTATAGAAGTGTATTATATCTCTATTACCGTCTGAAATGAGTTAAAATTGAAAGAGAGCAATTGTTGTGTGTTTGTCACGATACTTTTTCTTTTAAAGATAGAAAACATCGACCAATGAAAATGTTTTAAACATAATATTGTATAAGACAAAGAAATAATGTTTCACCTTTCTCATCGATGAAAACATCTCTGTAAGTGCTGCTTGTTGCTTGTGGCTGTTTTCTATAAGATTTCATTATATCTGTAAACGAACTTCCTTGTATTTCTCGTACCTGTAATTTTAGTATAACCTATAGTAAGTATATTAAATAAATTAAATGTGTAATTTACCTTAATATATAAATATATTGCACACATTAAAATTTGGTCGAGATGCCTATCTTTCATTAGTTCTGTTTTTTGCGTAATTGAGTATTCAAACAATGTCCATATTTTTTTTAGGCATAATTCATTATCTCTTCTTAGATCCATAACTAATTCCTTAATTCTAATCCAGGCTAATTTATAAAACTAAAACAAATATTTAGTGGACATTGCTACATATCTAAAGCAATTTAAACTTACTTTTCTTAAAAACAAAGGCAAAGACCCTGAACGTTTCATTCCATCGGGTATCCTTTTAGTATTGTCATTGGGTTTATCATACGGTAGGGAATCTACAAATGTTACAAGTATAACAAATTAAAAAAAGAAGTAATAATAAATACGTACCTATTGTTACATTAAATAGATCCCGTTTTGCAGAATCTGTAATAGCTGTTGGCATAAATGTTTCACACGCAGAATTCATAGGAGATTGGACTATTGAAAAATATTTTAATATAAATTATATTTTACAAACTCAATAAAAATTTACTTTGTGATTCTTGCCGTAATGATATATTACTTATATCAACTTCAGACCATGATGGAAGTGGAGAAGATATACTTTCTATTAGATTCCATATAGGAGAAGAGTTTTTCCAGACTAGTGACTCAAGACATGCTTCTTCAACAAAGTTTAGGTGCTTTATAAGTGCTCTATTTAAAATATCTTCATGACGTGCAACAACAATTTCAATGATTTTGTAGTATTGATAAGCATCAATCCCGAAACAGTCAAGCACCCATGGAAACTTTAATTGGGAATTATAGGCATCTAACACAATCTCAACGGAGCACGCAATTAATGTTGCATTAAATATATCATTAATTAATAATATTTTAATATCTATAGGCTTGGTTCTGATTTCGACGCGAATAATTTTCTCTAACAAATAATAATAAAGCGATGTAGCTAACTGAAACCTGTTTAAACCTTCTGCTTGATGTGGTAAATATTTACAAAATTGTTGTGACATAAGATTGAGTTTATCCCCGATTTTTTGCAATATAACCGGACCGGCTTGTCTAATTAATTCAGAAATGTTTTTTTTTTTAGATAAATGTGTAGCTGTTATGTAAATGAGTAACATAGAATTGGAGTTCATAAGTGAATTCCACTTACTTTATAAAATCAGTTGGTTCGGATATATGAGCAATACCTTGTAATTTGTTCACATTATGAGTGGCATTTGCTACAGGTTCCAAATTTGTCTCCTTATTGGGCAATAAGCTTTTCCTTGTGTATGGTGTGTCAGGTATCAATGACTTTATCTCCTATAAAACTTTTATCAAGTGTGCACAATTTATTTACATAAGTCTTACCTGATGTTCAACTCTTTCTTCTCCACTATACTCTAAAATTGAAATTTTTTTAAAAAAAGGAATTCAAATTTAAATAAACAATTACAAACCTGCGCTGACAACACGGCGATATTTTGGATTATTGATTATTATTCTCTCGTCGAATTCGCCAACACTCAAAATATATTGCTCATAAGTACTATTTAAACATTTTAAATTACGTTCGAAGTTAGAATTTGAAACAATACCTAGAAATGTCTCTTCATTTCCACTTATAGTCTAATAGGAATATATATACAAGTGTAAATTAGAAACATATTTTGAGACATGACTATAATAATTAGCATTACATTTGTTTGAAAAAACCTTCTGATAATTATTTTCCAAGAATTATTTTTCATAAATTTTACTTCACTTGGTTTAGTCTCAATTAACCGACTTAAATGATTTATAATACAATGGTTATGAACTAAATTTCGATCAAAACTGTCAGTACCCCAATCTTCTGGTATTCCACTAAAACTGGGATTAATAAGGTCTGTACGGTTTTCTGCTAATACATTAATATATAATAGGTCTATACAACAAAGAAGAAGATGAAAAGATGTAATAAGATCCACAGTATAACTAGGATTTTCATTTTTCGCGCATAAATATAAACACCATCCTATGTCATATAATTTGTTTGATGAACATTTGGTAGCAGACCTAAAAATTGTAATTAACAAATCAAATTATTGACTGGTTTTTATTTATAAGCACATAAATTTCTCAGATTTCTGACAACAAACCTGTATTTAGTGTTTTTTCTTTCATATGGCGGATATTGAAAAAGTTGATCAAATGCTTTATTATAGTAGTGGAAGAGATGAAATGTTATGCTAGATGTTCGTTCTAATCTTTCAATTTGATGAAAAAAGTTTTCTGATAGATTCGCCATTTCGTGCCAATTTTTAATTTTTGAAATAAAGTCATATATGCTGTAATAAAACAAAGTTTTCAAATATGAAAATTAAGCATTAGGACCTCTTCACCTCATATTACAAGAACGAAGAACTTTGTTCAAAGATACACAGTTTCCAACTACAATTGTATTGTTTTCGCCAACTGTGGGTGTATATGATGCTCTACAGGCTGCATACAATGCACAACAAAACCAATGTACTGGATCTCCCTAAGTATTTCAACAAAATAAAAAAAAATTAAATTGGTTACATTATAAAATATAAAAATATATACTTCTAATGATGTTCGTTGTGATACATCCGAAAATTTGTTCCAAGCGCTCTCTTCAGTTTCTTTATCCATATTAAGCTCACGACACAACTCCTCATATTTTGTCTTGATGTCGCCATCAATAATGACTATCTTTTCTTTTTCCATAATCAAGTACAAGTGCAACAGAATGTATCAATTCTTTGTTTTTGAATATTTTATTTCGACACTATAAACCCTTTTCCTTTATTCTTTTGAATATGTATTACTGAAATTTTCAACATGCACACATTTAATACTAAGTTATACCAAATATTAAAAGACAAACGTCAAAAAAAAGGCGCGAAGTATTGTAAATTGTATGTCAGTGCCATGGTTTGATGTTGGGTACATACAGAGGTAATCTGACTTTTTCAAAACAGTGTGTGCATGTATAAAATATTTTTTGAATTCATTAATGAAAACACGATCAGCCCTAATTAAAACTGTATAGTAACATGTGTGCATGAAACTAGCTCCAACGATAAGTCCCAAATGGAATTGGAAAATTTTTCCGCCATATAAAAACCTAAATAATTTTCTATGTGTAATTATGTTTCATCTGTAAATGAAATAATTTTCATAAAATATCACTAACAAAGCAAGTCCAATAAGGCCTATTTACTAATTTATTGAGAATTTTTGCACTATAAAAAATTTTTTAGGCGCTATAACTCATTGTGAAAACTAATTATCGTTTTCATTTCATTTGATGTTTATATAATTATACACTAACGAATTTAATTAATGGCACAGCTAGCATGTTGAACTTTAAGGGACCTGTATGATTGCAGTTACGTCGGAGAATTGTTATTGCTTTTTAATACAAAATAAAAATGTTAATGTCAATTGACATCTAGACAGCAAATTGAAAGTTAAAAGAAATAATAAATTAAAAGTAATCTGGGAATGTAGGAAATTTTGAAATTTTTAACAAAATTAATAATAGTTTCGAATAAGTATTCAAGCCTTAATAAGTATATAACTTGTAAGTTAGGAACTAAAAAGTTAAAAATTTAAATGCTTTTTAAATATACATTCTTCATGCACTCCTACGTGTTTTTGTATTAATA